ATTATGAAATTACCTTCCAGATGTTCAAAGACTCTCTGTTTAATGATCAAAACATGATATAAACATTGCAATCCTTGGGCTGAGTGAAATAAAGTGGATGGGAATGGGGCATTTTGAGTCAGATAATTACACAGTGTTTTACTCAGAAAATGAAAATCTAAGAAGAAATGGGATGGCGATAATAATGAGGAAAGATGTAGCAAAAGCAATCAAAGGATATAATGCATAATCTGTCTGAATAATATCAATAAGACTTCAGGGAAAGCCAACCAATATAACCATAATCTAAGTTTATGTTTGCACTATAGAGGCAGAAGAAGAAGTTGAAAGATTCTATGCTGAGTCCAGGAGGAAACTGATCACACACAAAAACAGGACTTGTGATTAACCATAGGTGATTGAAATGCGAAAGGAGGAAACAGAACAGAAATAAAGATTGTAAGAAAATTTGGTGTAGGATCAAGAAATGAAGCAGGAGAATAACTGAATACATTTTGCGAGGCCAACAGTTTATTCATTGCAAACACATTCTTCAAGCTACCCAAGAAGTGATAGTATCCATGGACATCACCTGATGGCCAATATAGAAATCAAATAGACCTAGTGATGTCCCTAATCTATACAGTTCTGTTGATTCATAAAATTAGTGTGCATTGCTATTTTGTAACAATCTACCATATATACTCGACTATAAGTTGACCTCATGTATAAATCAAGGGCATGTTTTGAGGCAAAAAATTATGGATTCTGATGTGACCTGTGGAAAAGTCGAGGGTAAAACTTAGTGGCATATAACAAAGGCTTTATAGGATGAAGCAAAGCAAAACAATGTCAAATAACTTACACAATTCAGGCAGACATAAATCTTTGTGCTCACTCTTAAGGCTGGATGGATGAGAGAGTAGAGGGTGCTTCCAGTAGAGATTATACTCTTGCCTTTCACCAGGGGACTATTCTTTCTTTTAAATAAGAGTTAAGATGCAGTACTTCAAGAGCTGCAAGAACAGCTAAGGGCAGTCAAAAATGATAAAGCAAGCAGTAAACACTCTCAGAAAGACAAACCCTATCAGAAGCAGCACCACACATAAAATAGGGACACGGAATGTGAGAAACATGAGCCAAGGGAAGCTAGACATAGTGAAAATGGAAATGCAATGAACATAGCAGTACTGGGGGTGAGTGAGTTAAAATGGACAAGAATGGGCCACTTTGAATCAGACAACCACACAGTGATATTTGACTGGGAAAAAGGATGGTGTCAGTCAAAACATTTGGGCTGAACATAGCTGAAAACAAAAACTGCCCTCACTTCCCCTACAATAATCTGGAACCTGGAAATAGAAAGAGAGGGAAGCCAAATGCTAGATGGATGAGATAACGAATATGGGTTTTCAGGAGCTGGGCAGAGCAGTAGAGGATGGGGTGGTGGTCTGGAGATGTCTCATCCATGGGGCTGCTATGGTTTGAGGTCGATGTGAAGGCAGTTAACAACAAATTTCCATTTTCACGTGGATAAGTCAACTCAATTTTTGGGGTCAATTTTTTTAACCTAAATTTCTAGACTTATACATGAGTATATACAGTATACAACAACCCTTTATTACAGGTATTTTTACCTCCATTTTTTATGCTGAATCTTGAAGATACTCCACATTAATGGACTCTAGATCAATGCATCACCATTACAAAGATCTAATTTCATCATTAATACAATTTCACTGTTATAACCTCCCCCCTCCCCCCTGAAGGCATCACTGGAAACAAGTGGGACTTAGTTGGTACTTTAAGCTCCCAGAGACATTAACCATTTCATCAACATCATTGTGATATTTGACTGGGAAAAAGGATGGTGTCAGTGAAAACATTTGGGCTGAACATAGCTGAAATCAAAAACTGCCCTCACTTCCCCTACAATAATCTGGAACTTGGAAAATTACTTTTTTGGACCACAGATCCCAATCTTTAAGTCTGGCATTCCTTTTTAAAATGGAATACAGCTAAATATGTTTGGTCTTAACTGCTCTAATCTTTGCTGCCTGGCTACACGATTGTAGATGGGGAGACTGTCAGTTTCCCAGAGGTGTGAATAAATTAATGCCATCTGAAACTGACATTCCTTTTGCCTTTCTGATCTTTAGGGGCTATTTGGCTCTTTACTTGAATTCAGAGCATCTAAATTTCAGCAGAAAGTGATGACAGATTAAATTATTTGTCTCACAGGGTTAATTTTAACAAGTTAATTGGACTGTTTGTGTGACATTTTTCTTAAGAGTTTGAAAAATAACTAGTCTGTGGGTTTGAAACCTGCCAGTGTATATAAAAGTTGAGCCCGCCTTCTTTATAGAAAGCAATACAGTTGTTTAAACACTTCTAGTAATTTAAGGTGTTGGGAGAAGCCAAATAAGAGTAGAAGATCCCCACTGTATAATTGGGTTGCCCTTCCAGAACATGTGCCATCTGCTACAGATTGATGAGTTTTCTTTCTACAGAAAAGAGAAAATTCATTTTATGCAACAGACTACTATATCATACTCATTGCTTCCATTTGCACCTAAATTGTAGCTCTGTTGTTCAGTATCACTTCAAAGAGGCTTGTCAGAGTGATATTGGAAGTATCATGGGACCAAACCATAGACATCTTAGCAAATCTTGGATTGGACCACATTTTGAATCGTGACTTTATTTGTTTTACTTTATTGGAAGTATCATGGGACCAGACCATACACATCTCAGCAAATCTGGGATTGGACCACACTTTGAATTGTGACTTTATTTGTTTTACTTTAGAAGAACCAATGGTGAGGATAAATTTTTGATGAAAACATTATGGGGGTGAGGCCAGGACACTTTGCTCATTTAAATCTTGAACAGGAAAAACAACAACAACCCAAGAGCACTTTCATTCTGTCTCTCAATCATTATCAATATGGCTAGTCTTTCAATTGATCTATCCTTTGGCAGATTTACTTATGTTAAAAATGTAGATTTGCTTATATGCACTGTTTCAAAATTAATAGTGCAATGTTGCATTTCAGCAATCAGCTTCATTAAGCCTGATTGTGTGTCTGGCTGTGCTTGTGCATGCCTAAAATATTCTGATTTACATACTGTTTACATTGCAGGTAGTGTCTGTTTGGACTTGCAGCCACATCTGAATTTGGGCCAGTTGTTCACCCACACATTATTACACCAAAGAATTTTCCCCAGGCCATAGACCACACACATGGAGTTTTAAGTGCCAGAGGACCTTTCTATGCTGAGTGCTATGAGGAAGCTAAAAAATGCATCATAATAGATTTTTTTTGCAAGGGGGAAAGACAGGAAGGGGGAACATCTGGTTTATTACCTTAATTTTACTCCTATCACTATTTCAATTTGAGCAGACCTTTATTTGTTCTATCTTTCATTTCAGTATACTTTTCCCAAGGAGGCAATGTACACCTGAACGAGTGTTTTCCAGCTATTTTCAAGTAGATGGTACTGAACAAACTGAGACATAAAAGACAGAAATGCCAGGGGAATTGATCAGTTTCAATGGAGGTTTACAATACTTATTTGATGAGGTTGCATTATTCCAAAGGACCACATCCACAGCATGGGCATCCTTCTGGACTCAGTGTTAACAGCATTAGACAGGAGGATCTTTTATCCACTTAAATAATACACTGTCTGAAGAGGATGTTCTTTGTCTCAGTTA